ACCGGCAAAGTCAAAAGTGTGGAGCGTAGCAGAGGGTTGCTCAACTTGCTGCTGTAGCTTTGTAGCCTTGGTTTGTGTGTGGCTGAAGAAGTAACGAACAGAGGTTCTCTTGGTTGTTCAGGTTCAACAGGGTCGCTCCAAGGTTCTTCTGATCCACGAGGTTCTTCATCGGTTCTTTCTGGGACGTCTTCAATTTCTTCTTCAACATCTTCAGGTTCTTCCTCTGCTTCAACTACTTCTGGCTGGTGAGAAATCTGTTCATGAAACTCAGGATGAACATGACCACGCAGACTTTAACGATCCAACCGGCTCCGAATCCTGCCATCACGAGGATACGCATGATGAGCATCAACTCCTCCATGCTGCTGGTTTCTGAGGGTCCTTCTACCACTTGAGCCGATTCGCTTTTTTGAATAACTGCTAATGCGGTGACTAGCTGAATCAATCGCTTCAATTTGTTCGATGAGGTTCCTTTCACATTGAATACCATTTCCTTTAGCTTCCTTTCTTTGTAGTGCTGGTCTACTTCTTGTTGGCCTGTTCCAACAAAGTCTTCTTCCACTTCAATGCTCCCACAGTAGAATAGCAAGAATTCTCTTTGGCAACTTCTTCGTGTTCAAGTCCGCTACATTCAACTTCGTGTTCACCGGCAATACTGCAAGCGCAGAATTGCGTACCAGATCCTGTAGGCGACAAAGACGAACGTGCTTTAACCTTCCAAGACCACGGCGTTGGGTTCATTGGCGTGCACGACTAGATACTCTCAGTTCCAGATCTACTCGGAACTCTGACTCTTTGGCAATTTCCAGTACAAACTGAGTCTGTTCTTTCACGAACAAAAATTCTACGGCTGTTCCTGACATCGCGTAAAGTTCCGCTTTGCAACTTGAAGAAGCAATAGCTTTTTGGGTCCGTGAAAAACTTAGAATCAAAATTCCGTTGACGTAGATAACTCTTGAGCTTACTTTTCCAGTCACTGTCGGAAAATGCCTTGACGCAAATGTTCTCTGCTTCTGAAGTACTTCCGTTCAGTTCTGAAATGATTTTCTGTCCTTCCGCTACATACGGGAGTAGAAACGCTCTTGTGCTGGTGCCCTGCCAATACGTGGGCAGCATTTCAAAGCTGCATGATGCCAGCATGAATTTTCTTGTACTCTCATAGGGAATTTACGACGAGCCTTCCAAGGCTAAGCGTATGGCCTCCGTTTGGGTCGGTCAAGCGATCGCATCCCCTGGGACGAAGCCCGTTTCCCAGGATGTGAATGCAGCGTAGTTTGTAAAGAGCCAGGTAGCGTAGTTGAGCTAGGTAGAGTAGTTGATGTGTGTTCCAACGCACACATAGGCAAGCCAAAGACCCTCTGTGGCAGTGCTCCCGGGAGGAAAGAGTTTCAACCTGACATGTCAATTGGGAGCAGTACTTCAACTAAGCTGTTGTTTCCTGAGAGTGGACTAGGTGACATTAGGTCAAAACCCCATGCCAAGTGCAGTGGACTTTTGAGGCGGGGTGCTAATGTTTTCACCATTTTGTAGTCCACATGTCATGTGATGTTTTGCACTTGTTTAGTAGAACATGTCAAGATCATTGCGCAGGCGTTTGGTGTATCAAAACATTTTTCACGGCGGGTGAAGGTTGATTTTGTCAGTGTTTCCACCAGTTTCTAGGCAAGTCCGTTTTGCATGATTTCCGTTTGGGGGCAGCTTTTTGTCGAACGAGTAGCGAGGTCTCTAAGCAGCCGCGGTGACTTTCATCCAGCATCAGCACGTTGATGTTGTAGGGTCATATTCGCAACTTTCCGCGGCGTGGTTTTTGTCTAACCAATGGCATGATGTGCTGCAATAGCCAGCCTGTAAAACAGTAGTATAGCAGTTTGAAATCTTCTGATCGAGCATCATTGAGAAGCTTCTGTGCTACCCACCAGCCACTTTTGGATGCATGATGCGGTGTCAAGTTTGGGTGCAATTTCCATGGCTACATACCATTTTTGCGGATGACATATTTTTCTCGGTTTCATGTGATAATGGTTTGCAGGAAGTCCGCGCGAGGGTCACACATTCGGGTACATTGTATGGGATGGAGCTTCAGGACAAATTTGAGCTTTCTCAAATTCAGTGCCGCGCCTGCATCTTAACTCCCTCTGGTGACCGTTTTGCCCCCCAAAAGAGGCATGGGTTACGTTGGGACAGTGCTGAGTCATGATGAGATTCTTTCGACATGACATGAGCTTGGACGTCGAAGGCCAAAGTTGATTTTTTGAATTTGCAAAAAATCTGGGAACATTCATTGTTACATTAGACACGGAAAGTCCGAATATTCAAAGCTCTCATTGAATCCAAGTTGATGTGCAGTTTGAGTGGTGTATACCTTTCCGCGTTGCGTCCACGCTTGGATTGCTTGAGAGTCGTCGTTTAAGGTGTATGCTTGTCATTCATTTTTTTATTTCGAGGGTCTCCAATACTGAAGTTCGGCGTATGCTTGTTGTCATGCAATGCAGCCACGGACGTGCTTTTACAACATCAGCTCCATCTTTTCGGAAGACTTGCAAATCCCTCTGGGACAATCCAATGCATTCCTCCTTCATCCCCGGGACCTTGCAACCCATTACCGATGCAAGAGTAGACAGATCGAGACGTGACAGGATCAACAAAACTAGGGATACGGCATTTCGTTCGTTGGGCGGCCACTGTGAAATCACCAGACTTGTGCAAAATCCGGTTTTTTGGCGTCACACGGTTGTTTAGCTCTTACGCGCTCCACACCCTGCCCGGCGTATGACTGGCTGACATCAACCGCTTTTGTCTCCCAGGCTTTAGTTAGCAAAAACGATATCGAACCGCAGTAGCTCAGGCGAATGCTTGCATGGCTTTCAATTTGCCTTGCGTGGTCTTTCTCGCCGGTTGCAGGAGAAGATGATGCCTCCTGCATTTTACAAGCATACCAGCGAGAGGAGATTCTTGTGACGAGCAGTCACAAGTTGGAACAAACCAATGTTGGAAAGGACAATGTTGGTATTTTATTCGTGGTGCGATCACAAAGCAGGAATTATGAAACGCGGGTTGATGCAATCATGAACACATGGGGTGGCGATATGCATGAGCTGCGGGCAGACGGTCTGTTGATAGTTGGAGACGAAGCAAGCCCCGATCATGAGCCACCCATCATTGGTGTCAGCGCATGCGGAAATGATCATGGGAAGGAGCTTTGTTGCAGGACAGGGTACGCCCTGCAGGAAGCAGCAAAGCAACTCGAAGCCTATTCGTGGTTTTTCGTGCTGGACGATGATGTGTATGTCAACGTTCACAACGCCAGGCAGGCACTTTTATATCGCGACCCTGATGACTTGATCGCGCTTGGCATTCCAAGCTGTGGTCCAGAGGATGCGGCGGGCTTTTGTGGTGGCGCAGGTTACATCATTAGCCAAGCCAGCTTGCGCAAAATCATGGCAAGGCCACTGGCATTTTTGTCGTTCTCAGAGTTTGATATATCATATTCGCAATTTGTGGCAACCACGGAAGCTTCCGAAACCAGTTGATGATCAACGGCCACCACAATCAGCCCCTAATATGGGCCCCTAGCTGTTTCCTGGGTCCTAGCTATGCGTCCGGCCATTGGGTTCGTAGAGTTTTTCAAAGGCGTAGAATAGGCATGTAAATAAGGACCGCAAGATTAAGGGCTGACAAAGCTCCAACGTTAGAAATGAGAGTCTGGCAATCGCCAGCATGCTGACAGGTCCGGCGAAGCGTTTCAGTCAGACTTGATGGGCAACCTGGTAGGTGGTGCATACGGCTTGGTCTGGGACGATCTTAGTATTTCAGGCAGCTGGGCTTCATTAGGCACCAGGCTGAGGATCCCAACTCAAGGTCAGACATTTCGGCACAGGACGCAGGCACAGATTTCAGTGCAGTCTATTTTTGAGCTGACAGATGTGCCAGTCAGGCATCGGAGCAGACAGTCAAGACTTTGAAGCAAGAACACGAATGTAGGTATGTATTAGATGGCTCCCCAAGCAAGGGCACCCGAGGCTCTCCATACGATGCTGACGGAGCACCTTCACATGGGCCATAGACAGCGGGTTGATGAATTCTCGTTTTGACAAAAAGAATGTGCAGTTATTGGCGCAGTGGTTTTATCTTGGAATGTTTGAAAGTATTGTAACTTCTTTGCTTATACGATATCAAAACTGTTGTTTCCGTTTATGCGGTCAAGAAGCTCCAACGACCCTAAGGCGTGCTGAAGCGCAACGGGGTCCATCTTGAGCAGCTTGACGGGCTCTACGGCTGGCAGCTTGACAATTCTCAGGAGCTGGAGGATGGCTATGCCAGCGCAATCATGGCAACAGATCCTCTGCCCATCACTTTTCATTATGTGACTAGCCGGCAGAATGAGATGCTTGTTTTTTGCCCTGATAGCTACAATGCATGCCTTTGAATGCCTTTCCCCTGAAGAAGTGTATGCAGCGAACACACACACAATGTGCTAGCCTGCATATGCAAACCTTGGCTAAGATGTGATGAGCAGTGTCTTTTGATGCCAGGGTATCTGACAAGTCATGGCACCCGATCCAGAACTGACCTTGCAAGGTGATGCCAGGCTTGATGAAAAAGATCCACGGCAGATTCAAAGCCTTGAAGAGCCGTGCAGCCATGTTGTACATGCAGGACAGCTTGCAATGTGAGGAACACATCATCTATCGAATAGCAAGACAGCTAGTTCTGTGATTAGTGCATCATGGCTTCCATCGGAAAACTCCAACCGACGTGTATGATTTATCATGACAGACATCGACCCAAAACTGGTCCCGATGCGCAGGACAGGTTGCCAGCCTACCAAGAGCAGCTGCAGAAGTACATTGCAGAAATGAAACGTCAAAGGCACGTAAGTTAGCTAGACTCCTTTTGGCCGTGATTTGTCGTGATATTTTTCAATGAGAATATGCAACGTACTTGTGCAAAATATTGTGTTCGGTGAATTATGAAGGCAGTGATATATCATCCCACCTAGATTCTGCCTGGTTCAAAGGTGCCAGGCATGCGTAGAGAAGTCCATGGAGCATGTTGCCGCGGGGCTTCTTGTACCAGCCTTGTGTGCGTAGATTAAATAGTTTGTTGACTTCATGCTGTGTCCTGAAGGGATGCGATGGATTTTTGGACCACTTGAAGGAAGACCACAAAAACAGTTTTAGTCGATCCCAGGCTCTGCCAAGCAGGGTACAGCATGGGGCCGTTTTCTGGAAGTGCATCCAGTCCGAAGTGTGTCTTGAAAAAAGAGCTTGTGTCCAGCATGAAACTCTTGTATGGGCCAAGTCATAGATTCGTTTGCAGTCAAACTACACACATGGGGTCGTAAAGAGCCGATCCAACTGGCAACTAACCTCCAAATCGCTGTAAGCACACGCCCATCCAACCAACCATCCGTCATGCCCCAAGATGCGTTTTGCCATGACCCAGTGTCGAGGTTCGCAAGTTTGCTAGACGGCAGTCATGTAGCGAGCAGCGGAGAAGTCGTGCTGCGCTATGCAGATTGCAGTGCCCACACCCGTTCGGATGGGAGAGATTTGCTCCAACATGTTTTGAGGGTACGAATTGGTTCAGGGCGTTTCAAAGTAGGACATGCAAGAAGGCCGCAAGATGCAGCTACCGCTATGTCTTCAGCGCCTGGGCCCCATCCTATGGAAGTTGTCAAAATATTGCTTACTCAGCATTCTTGGGTACGTGCCCTAGAGCCATGGACGCAAGCCCCAAGCCGTTGGGACTGCCTGGGATCGGAATCGCGCAGAGAACGAAGCCAACGGTGTTGAATCTGACAGGCTCCATGCCAGGCTCCATGCCGGAACCGGCTGCTTTGAGCTTTGCTGAGGCAGTGCTTTACCAAAGGGGTCGCAAGATGCTATACAGAGTAGCACAACTGGCCAAGCCTTGAAGGTACATGCGCTTCTGGCTCAGTGCCACGATATGGAGATCATGGCTCTGAAGCAGCAAATTTCGCTTTCTCCGCGAGCGGGCCAGGCCTCCGTGAGGCATCTCTCTCCCATTCCCAAGGACAAGGGGACAAGGCATTTGCCTTTTTTGCTTAATCCAGCCGCTTGCCGTTTGCCAAGCACTTCCCCAGGACCGTGGGTCGACTCAGATGGCGTGGAGCCCTGGAGAAGAGGATGCAAAACTGGCAAGGGCAAACGGCCACAAGCTGCAGCAGACGCCTTGGCTGAAGGACACACTTTCGTAGCTTGCGGGGTTCTTCGGTCCAGCTTGGAAACGGGGGAGCTGTGCTTCGCAACAAGCTTGTGACGTACAGGGAACTGTTATCCAAAAGGGTTCGTGCAGCTGTTTCCAGTTTCAGTTAGTGAAACAGGCTTGACTCTGCATCCCGAGCCTGCCAAGGATGCTTCAGCCCATCACATCTGCCCCTGAGACCTCCTTCTTGGACATCTCCTGTGTCTTTGCCGAGACCAGCGCAACTTGGTCCAAAGGTTAGCCGTAGCTCTGCTTTCGATGATGGTGAGCACAACCCAGGAAGGGAGCGACATTCAGTTTGACGCCTGGCCGTAGAAGCTGAAAGTTTCTTCAGACATCGCATGCATTAAGCCTCAAGGGCCGCAGTCTAGAAGGCATCAGGATGCAGGGCCTTTTTCCTGGTGAAGCCAAAGCTCCACCTAGCCACATGAAGCACTTCTACCAGGTGGCTTATAGACTTATGTGGTCACGGTTCAGGGATGTTTAGAACCTACAAGCTGACATGATTTGTCTGGGCATCGCCCCCTTGCACCCACTGTGAATGTACGAGTTGAGGAGCCTCGGCGATGCTGGACGACCGATGGCTCCTCGACGCCAGCGCCGGTTAGGCGGCGGAGCACCGGAGCCTGAGAAGAGAGAGGTCGAGGATGTTGGAGTGCTACCAAATGGATTTTCTTTTGGTGGTGGCTTGAAATTTTGGGATGTTTGAGTGTTGAGGGTGTCCAGATTGGGGCGGTTAGATAGAAAGTTGAGAGATACATGGCTCATTACCAGTTAGCACTTAGCCGCGCTACAGCACAACTGTGCCTCCAGACTAGTTTAGTGGAAGTATGATGAAGCCATCAGCCATCACAGTAAGCCTCCGCGGCCCAACTACAGCTTGCAGCCTCACAGCCCCAACTGTTTGTTGCCAAGGCATCTCCTCCTTCGCCCCCATGGAGGCAGGGCCCAGCACGCAGAGCCAATGGACTCCGCTGGCTCCCATGGGTCGCTTCCGACTTGTTTGGGACGTCAGCAGCACCTTAGCCCAACCAAATGCATGTTCGGAATTCGTAGGAAAATTGGGTTGGCGGGGTTTCAGCGTGGATTGGCTGGGTTTGAAAGCATTTGTAATCGGTAATGGTGCCCAGCATCCCGGTGCTTGTTGGAAAATAGCTCGGGGACTGGAAGTGTTTCCAATAGACCAGAGGTGACAGAGCATCTTACCATGTCCCATGCTTTGCCTTGTTGAACGTAGTTTCCCAACCGCATTTCTCAACAAGATATATCACAGGCTGGGCTCTGGAACAGGCTTTCGAATTATCTGACCACGTCCTTTCAGGCCCGCTTTGACTCAAAGCTTCAAGCCAAAGATTATAGATTATCCGTCTCAGCTCCCTCAAGGCATTGTGTGCCTTACCCTGGACGTAATACTGTTGCCGCTTCACGCCTTCTCACAATGGAAAGCTGCGGCTACGCTGCGCCTGAGCTTTGTATTGTGACGTTGTTGTGACAGTTTTTCTGTGACCAGCCGTCCAGTAGAAATTTGAATTCACAGGGAGCGGTTTGCTTTTGGCGTGTCTGGCTGGGCAGTTAGGGGTGCAGAGAACTTTTGCATGCGCTTCCACGGCTCTCCAGTGGACTATGACCCAGGATTGGGCGGCGTCGTGATGCGATGTTGTTGGATAGCTGGCTTTGTTGAGCGCAAAGGACAGTAGCCCCTTCCACCTGCCGTCTTATCACACTTTTCAATGAGGACGGTATTCGAGATGCTGCTGCAGCTCTTCTGGGCGGTAGACATTGCCGCGCCTTGGTTTTGGCGATCGATTGATTCCGAAGGAGGGAAAGCGAATCTGATACAGCCCATGTGGTACCACAGCACTCCGCGCTGCCGGAGAACCGTTCTTTGCAGTGCCATTCCTAATCTGCACTAGTTACTCGTGGCAACAAAATATGCCAGTGGCTGTTCATGATTGTCAATCAAACCTCAGGTCACCTTGAACACAGGCTTCTTTTCGGATGGGACGCTGGTGCTCGACCGGACACTGATCGCGATGCTTGGCCTGCTGTGGTCCTAGTCTGTGTAAGCCCACGGCACTCGAGGCGGTGCCCTCCAGTTTTCAAAGTGCATGTTGTGCACATCCATATTGTCGGGACCTGACACAAAAATGGGGAAATTTTTGAGACTGTTCCGACTCTGATTCAGAATTCCCAATTTGTCCCAATGAATGCCAGATATCTTCAGTGCAATTTGCCCTACATATGCCGAGGCCTTGTTGCAGTAAGGAGATCGCATTTCTGCTCGAACGATATCCATGCGGTAAGGCGTTGGAGAAGCTCAATGACAACATAGCAGGTAAGCCTTGATGGGTCTTGACTGAGAACTCGCAGTAGATTGAAAAGGAGACCATGGGGGCTGAGGCATGTTAGTGCTCTAAGCATCTAGCAGTCTGGCACCTGCGAAGGGCGCAAGTTGTGGCCTCACCCACAAGATTCGAAAAGCAAGCAAATGGGCCCGCTTAGGAAGAACTACATCCGTGGCTGGCTGTCATTTGATGTGCTTTACGTTGCCCTGGGCCTGGCATGGGTGGTGCTACAGCTAGCCAACCCCACACAGGCTTCGAGGAGTGTCGGAGTTTGCTTGACCATGCTGAATTGCCGAGCGCTTTTGGGGCATTGCAAATGCCAGCTCTCAAAGCATCTTTGCAACCCTGACCTAAAATCAGTGACTAAATCTTGGACCTCTGTGAAGGCTGCTTTAAGCTTCGTGACTGCGCTGGGCTGCATGCAGCTCGTCTAACATTGGCGAGTAGTCTGTTTCCCACCAAATACCGAATCGAGAAGTGCACGCAAATTACGACTCACAAATTGCCAACTAAACCGTTGGAATCACATGCTGCTTTTAGTTCCCTTCGTGTGCTTCCTCCCCATGTTTCCTTGCTCCGGCAAAGGTTAGGATAGGGACCTAGGGAGCATCCTCAGGATGCAACTTTGATTGCACAGCTTGCTTCTATTCGTCGTGCAGAGTGGAAGAGCAGAAGGTGCCCAGCTTGGGCTGCTTACTTTCCCCATTCTGGGGCTGATCTTAGTTGAATGCGCCGCTTGCGGCGGGCTCATCTAAGGTGGCAACTCCAGCAGACAGGGTACCACCTTACCACCTCTACAACTTTCGTTGTCACCTACTGACATTACGTTCGTTCGATTCACGAACGATGCGTCTGCCGAATCACGAACTACACCGCCCAAATAACAAATTATGTCGCCCGAAGCACGAACTACACCGCATGAATCTTGACCTATGCCGCGCGGAGCACTCACTACGCCTTCCATTGAGCGCCGTGCAATTGAGAGGACTTTGGGGCAGAGGAAAACTCAAGAACATGTGTTTGTTGAACCCCCCTTGCCTTGCAAGAAAGGATAAAGTTCAGCGACATCAGTTAAAACTACTCCCTTGATTGCAACTGAAATGACACTGTCAGAAGAGATATTTCTTGAAGCCACTTCGTCTTCGCCTTGCAAAGGAAGTGATACATTGATGCAGAGAAACTGCATAGACAGATGTTGGCCGTGCACCTTGCAATTGCAGTTCACACAAGGCAGTGACACAGAGAAGCTCACAAACATCTGTGAAAACTACCCCTCCCTGCCTTGCAGTTGAATGGACATTGTGGTATGGTGAAACTACAAGAAAATGAGCTATAACCACTTGTCGTAGAGGGAAACTGGAAGAGAGATATGTGTTAAAACGACACCCCCTTCGCACTGCAATTGGAGACAGAGAAAGTTTAGAGACATAAGTTAAAGCCACCCCCCTCGACTTGCAACCAAAACGGCCCGTGGGTGACTGGACCCATCGGGGCGACGAGATCCACGCTGGAACGCTGCCGCATCTCCGCGAAAGCATGGATATTGAAGGTACAGATGGACCCAGACCCGAAAAAGATTGCCCCGTGGCAAGAAGCATGCGCCAAATATCGCGAAATCCGATGCGGGATACCACTATCATGTCGGGTTACCGATCGAGCGGATGTAGTTGCCCATTTAGCCGTTCAAGTTCACGATTCAGCACTTTTAGTTCTCGGCTCAGGACTTCAAGTTGACCATTCAGCGATTTTACTTCACGCTTCAACGGTCTTATTTCACAATTCAACAATTCAGCAGCTTCACTTTGCGATCCAGCGCTTTTGCTTCACGATTCGAGGATTCAGCGGTTAAGTTCATGACTCGGCAGTTTTAGTTCATGATGCAATCGTTGTAGTTCACAATGCCCGCGTTTTGGTTCACGATTCCAACGCTTTAGTTCGCGATTCAGAGTTTTATTTAAGGATTCAGGTGCTGACCGTTTGTTTCCTGCGCAATCTTTGTGGCGGCCGCTATGTCATGCAGACCTAACTTCAACTCAATCACAGACCGGAAGAACTGAGACTAAACCTTGATCATTCCACACGAGGCAGCTCTTCCTGCGGCTGATACGCCTCATGAGGCTGACCAAGATGGCAGTGACTTGGATGCTTCAAGATTGAGGGCTTGAATATCGAGGAAATCTCACAGCAGCATGGTTCGATGGTTTCTTGGATTAGAGGCTTCTGGTTGAGAGAGCGATGATGTGGAAGCCTGTGCCTAGAAGCGAGTTTTGTAGTAAATGCAGCAAAGGCTAGCCAGCTGCTTGTTACTCCGCAAGCGACCTTTGAGTCAGAAGCAGCCGAAACTTCAATAATTGTATCGCAAGTTTGTGGACAGTGTCAGAGACTTTGCATGTCCAGAAATTCAAGCCATGGCGCCCAGAGCACATGCAGCACGCTTGAACGCCTAGACTGAACCCCGTCGCTCTGAAGGAGTCGTGCAAAACCCGACTTACCTCTGACATTCTGATCGCCAGCGCCAGCATCCTTCAGCTTTCGGCCCAGCGCCTGGTCCTTGCAGTGGAACTTTACTCTGGTGTAGACGAAGTGGAACCTCGTGGAATCACCTTGTTTTTCTGTTTTCAAGCGCTCTACCAATCGTTACAGACGGAGAGCGGACCTGCATCCTTGGTCTGGAATGCAATTTGGATTGATAGTCCAACAGCAGCAACAGCCCGTGAGTCATCAGGATCTTGCTCAACCATCACGCTATTGCCTGCATCTGGTACTATGTTGGCACGGTCGCGGGGAGTGCCGGCTGGGTGGCAGTGAACAACGTGGAGCCCTGCCTTCAAGATTGTTTTGTGTGTTCAGGCGGAGTTTGAATATTAGGATTTCATGAGTGCCTCGGACTTGCTTGACAATACAATAGGCCAAAGGGCAGTCCAAGGCACAGCTGCGAGGTTGGTGGTTTTGCTGAGTTCGGACCTTCCACACATACAGCAAGGAACTTTCACTTTCGGGCTTTAGTGCAAAGTTCGCCGGTTTAAGTTGAGTTGTCTCACACTGTCTTTTTGCCTGGCAGTGTTTTGTGATCGACATGCACAGCTTCTCTGAAGAACGCCGGAAGCTGCAGGCAACAGCTCCGATCAGATCTGCATAGGCAAGACGCGGTGTTGGGACAGAGCACAGAAATGATGAAACATAACAGAGAATTTCTGCGTTTCGGCTTAGGCCCAGCACGAATCAACTCTCAAGCATAAACACTCAAGCCCTCAAGCCTGCTTGGCAACAACGGTGCACAGCGACTGAAACCGTTTAGTCTGTCGGCTGGGGACGCAGAAGTTTCTTATTGTAGGAAACTAATCAGGGTGTTGGGGGTGCTAACGGTTCAGATTTTTTTGAGTTTTGTGTGGGTTTAGGGTTTCGGGTTGTTTAGGGTTTACGGTCTGGGCTTGTTCATTCTGAGTGATCCGTTTTAGGGTTTGGGGTTGATTAGGGTGTAGGTGTTTCTGAAAGGTTACGACTTAGTCGTGTTTAGGGCGGCTGTGGTTTCGGGTTCAGGAGTTTTCAGGCAGGTGTTAGGGTTTAGGGTTTTGGGGCTGCTAAGGGTTCAGGGCTGTCTAGAGTTTCGTGTGATTTGTGGTTTGGTGGCTGGGTGTTGTTTGGGGTTTGGTGTTGTTCAGGGTGTGGGTTCTTGGGGATTTACGCTTTGGGGTTGTTTGCGGCTGTTCAGGGTTTTGGTTTGAGGTTAGGATTTCAGTGGTTTTAGGGTGAAGGTCTGATTCATCGGGTTTCGGGTTCGAGGTAGTTTAGTGTTTGGGGCTTGGGATTGTTGAGGGTTTGAGGTTTGCGGTCGTTTAAGTTGTTTGATCCTTGGGCTGTTCACGGTGTAGAGTTTAGGGTCTGGCGTTGGTTGGGCTGATTCGGTGGTTGGGTTCCGAGTTTAGGGCCTGTTTCTTGGAGTTCTGGGCTTGGGGTTGCAGGCCTTTGAAAGTTGAGAGTTGTCTTCACTGCCTAGACTCCCCTCTACATGCAGATGAAAAGTATTGAAGTATCCTTAAACCTCGAAGCCCTACAACGGCAGGGGCAGCCAACAACCAATCGAATCATGTTAATTCTAGACTTCTAGACTCTAGGCTGATTTCAATCACAACTCCTGTCTTTCGGGTCTGTAGTGATCCTTTTGGCGTCACATAACTTGATGTGCTACGATGGGAAACTACTCCGAACACAGATTGCAGGGTCTGACCCATTCAGGCGACTGACCTATTCCAGGTGATCCGTTTGATTCCGCTGGTTTGCGGAAGTCGGCCTGAGCTGTTCTTTGCAGATGCCCCAGGACAGCCAACCTGTGCTCTACCGCTACACCACGTCGCTGAACTACTTGTTCTGCCAGTTCCCGGGCTGCAAGCATTTACAGGCTTAGCTTCCGCCAGCCTAGTACCAGCAGTGAGTGTAAAGACCATCGGGAAGCAGATTCTTTGAGGTGACAATTTCCGCAGGGTGTACGCCTTCTTTTGATGACCGCATCAAAGCAATCGACGTGCTCTGAAAGCATGCAACCTGCGAGGCTTGGCTTTGGCGGAACAGGCATTGAGCCTGGGACAACGTTGGCGCCCTGGCTCTTCTTGGGAGACATGTGAGTCTGGGTGAAGAGTCGAAGCCTTTCAGGTGATAGGATCATCACGGTCATCAATCCTGATTGAACTGCTTCATCAGCTCAGAAGTCTCTTAGTCAGGCACAGAGAGCCGACAAGAAGGTGCAGACGTATTTGCATCCCCTGCAATGACCCTCCACAGCATGAGACTCAAATATTGCTCAACAATGATGTCAACAATCGCTACATGTGATTTGGAGGAACCCGACTGAAGCTGCAGCCTGTTTGTTTTGCCTTTTAGGAGCCTACCTTGCATGCAAGACTCAGGAGCGGCTTTTCGGGCTCTTCACAGCAGTGCAAGCGCTGGTGCCTTGGGCCGGCAAGCTCCAGTGGCTCTAGGGAGAAGCCTCACTTCACAATTACCAACTCCAATCCTCGGTCCCAGCTTTAGTCCAGCCCCTCAAAGCCATCGTAAACCGTCGCTCCCATTGAAATTGTAAGCCATGAAGACAGACATGACTGAACAAAACACAGCATGCACTGAATTCCTATAAGATCCCACCGAGGCACATGCAAAACTCCACCAGGCCGGCCCTCTTCTTCATTGTTCTTGATTTTGTGCATTTGCCTGCCAAGGCTTCGAATTCAAGCCTCAAACTACTCCACGATCCGCCCTAGTTGCAAATTCAGAGCATGCTGGCTCGTGTAAGGCGATCTTTTCCACCCTTGTGGCATCTCTAACCTCACACGCAGCATTCCTGAACAAGTCTGGCGAGGAGCGGATTTCCAGGGTTGCATGTCATGAAGTGAAGAAGTTGCCTGATTGACTTGCAAGGGTCGTGATGATGCTGACTTCAAAGTTAACAGACTTCTTTCAGCCTGCTTTTTCTGCAGCAACTCCCGCAACGAAATGCAAAGTGCGTACAGATCATGGTGGTGACAATGCCTGTGCAACCGTGCCAACAAATACTTATCAGCCCCACGCGCTGAGTGCTTTACGTGGTCCTGACAAAAGATCTGATATGCAAAAGCCAGGCATTCAAGCAGCATGTATTGCTCTCGGCACCTGGAATCCCCAAGTGAATGTAGACACGCAGAGGAGCGGCGTAACGAGTTTCGCTTGTTGCGGAAGTTCCTGGCACGCAGTCAAGTGGAGGAGGATTTGGCTCAGAGGACAGGCCGCGGCAAAATGCGAATTAGGATTACTTCAAGTACCTCACTGGATGCAGGACACTTGAGACCAGTACCGAGTCTTCCAAATCCTTGATGCAGAAGTCCAGTAATCCCAACTTGGATAGCGCTGTATCTGCAGGATCCAGCGCTTCCTTGAGCACGCTCATGCCCTGACAAAGGACTAGTTACGGAGTCTGCTGGGAATGGTTTCCTTTAGCTTCTCTGGATTTGGGGCGAGGTCTTGGAGTTGAACGGGCTTGGCATGTTGTTTTGTACGTTCATGGTTTCGGGATGGGCCTCAAGGTTTGGTGGTTCTGTGTTCGGGTTGGTATTGCCATGCAGCGATGAGCGGCATTGGCTTCAGGAGAGAGCAGATAGGGTGAGTGACAGCAGCACCACGGCTACTCGGAGTAGTATTCGTGGCAGTGACTGCACGGACATTTGGCAGCTCGTCAGCATCAGTTCTTGCAGTGAAGGTGAATTTTGCTTGTTTAGTTTGTTTCTCTGTGAACTAACTGCCTTTAGCTTACGTACATCGCGCTCAAGACAAAGACGAGTTCGTGACACCAAAGGACACCTCAAGCCCCTTATACCCAAACTCTACACCAGCAACCGGCCTCACGTATTGTCTTGCAACCAGGAGGTCGTTGACGAGATCCAAGTCCCGCTGCTCAGGCAGCCAGCTTAACGCTTGATATGCCTCCTTCATATCCTAACCTGGCAAGCAGAACGATCGAAGTGAGAAAGTTGTTCGCATAGCGGAGGCATGAGCCTGCTGACTTTGTCATGGCAAGGCCAAGAATCTATTTACATTATGCTGGCGAGCTTTGACAAAGGAAGGAGTATGTTCTAGCGATCTAAGGACAGTGCCATCCTTTCGGTCAATTCTCAGAACAGAGAAGTGTTGTTTCTGTCCCACGCAGAGAAGGTGTGAGGATAAGAAATCCTGGAGTCCTGCCCTGGCATGTATAAGAGGCTGCTGTCGAAGCCGCTGTGGCGAGAGCTCCACTACGCTATGTACAAGCACTGCTTGGGAGAATCTGCATCTGAAGGTATGGACTTCGTAGGGCTTGTGAGGCAAGATAGTTGAAGACAGGATGCAGGTATTTTGTCAGCACCTTCGAGATTGTTGCAAGTTGAGTGACCCTAAGATGATGAATCTTCTTGGCTTCTTTGGTTCATCTCTAAGATGTGGCATACAGCTTGGACCTTAAGCTTGATTGCCCCTTGTGGCCCTTCGCGACCCTTGCAGTGTAATTCTTGAAGCCTAGACAGTGAGCCGAGACGAGTCTTGCTCAAAGGAGATAGGCTTCGTGCGTTCACTTTCCCGGTGCAGTGTCAGCGACGACTTGCGCCTCGTCCCAAAGCTTTGTCGCAACGCTTCGTGGCCCCTGGATTGGGGTTTAAGCTTGTGGGTGGGGGTGATGAGCTGGTTACCGGATGATTTTCCCCAGATTTGACAAGGTGGCCCCGAGAGTTATTCATTCAGGCAGGTAGGGCGCAGTCGTCAGTTTTGGCTCTTTTCTGTTTTTGCCTTGTTTTGGTTTGCCGGAACAGGGTTTGAACCAAGCAGCGGCAGATTTTTCAGATCGGGACAGCATGTAAGCATGTTATGCCATGTTTTTGTACAGAAACCCTATTTTGAGTCAAAGTCTTTTCAGCGAAAAGTTGGGTCTTGTCCGAAGTCCTAGAGGTAGCATGTTCTGGAGGAGTGGCAATTGAGCTAGGAGGGCATGTGCCCCATCACAGGCGCAGGACAATTTCACAGCACTTCCAGCTTTGGTTGTGTATCCTTGCGTCCTAAACCCATTAGCCGAGGAATGCGGATGCCACACGGCAGCTCTCGCAGGCACTGTCACAGCGTTTGCACCTGGGCCTCTCTACGTGTTTGCTTTGAGGTCGGTGAATGCTAAAATCTCTGCTCCGAAGCGCTGCGAACCTATCAGAGCTGAGGCTGGCAGCCGGGGACACGATTTTCGAGCCTCGTCAGAAATCTTCCCTTTAGACCCGCAAGCCAGGGATACACTAGACACTCCATGGGAAGCAGGCAGCACAGTGCTTTCTCATTTGGCATTTACAGTTTTCGTGAGGGCTTTTTGAGACAACTTCTGAAGATAAGGTACAGCGAAAGGCTTGTCGAGCATGTGCATTGACCTGCTAATCACACCCAGAAAACCTTCAGGTTGGAAGGGGTGTACGGACACTAGCCTAGTTTCGAAGAGTTGCCTTCGCTGCTGTCTGCGTGGGTAGTTGTCACAAACGTGGGCTGTTGTTTCATCATTGTCATGCCAGACCCCTGCATATCTTGAGAGTGAAGAAAAACTGCAATTCTGACAGTTGCTCAGAGGAGTCTGGCAGCTTGGCGCTGGATGCTTATTTTCTTATCAAAACATCCGTGTGCCGTGCCTGAACGAGGTGTAGGTGGTCTGCGGCATTCTGGAACTTCTATGTTGGTTTGGGTTGGGCACCCCTTGCCATGGTTGGGTGTCTGGGCTTGTGTTGCGGGATCTTTGTGTGCAGGCATTGAATTGTCCAGGCACTAGAAAAACTGCAACAGTGATGGGCAGTTGCAGGACAACGGGTTGACCTACATTTCTGATGGGTACGAGCACTTCAGGGTGCTGGTAGCTTTGCAAGACATCTGTGTTGTCAGTCCTGTCCTTAGCCATTGCTCGGGTTCGGTGTTCCCTCCTTTTCGTCGGGCAAGGGTGCCGTAGGTGCTTTCCTGTCCTCGCGTAATGTAGAACCGTATATAGTCTGCTCATCACTTCGATGGAACGAATTTGGTGCTTTGGAACCAGAGTTTCTTGAAATGCCAATGTCAGAAACGCGAGAAAAGCCTGCCTCAAAGCATGTGCACACAGGTACAATCTAGGCCAGCTGCGGCAGCCGGTGTCCGATTGTTCCTCATCTCAAGTGTATTTGGGTAGGCTATGCTTTGTTTCTCTAAACGCGACTTTGGTCTCGAGCGGGACCCTACCTCAAACTCATGCTTTCATTTGACAAGGCTGGGTGGCTGAGATGGGCCTCTGGAGCCCCTGGTGCCACCTTGGTGAACTGGTCACCACGGAGGCCTCCGTCAACGTACGCCTGCAGGCCAGCAGTTTGGGAAGCTTCGGGTCTTTTGGAGGGAGCTTGCGTGGGTCCTAGGCTTCGTCTGCGACCCCAAAGAGTTGAAACCTCACCGCAAGAACCACCAGGTGGAGAAGTTTGCGGAATGCCTTCGCCGGTCATGGTCTCTGCTGCAGCTGGCGCAGCACTACGCTGCAAAGTATGTTCAGGCCGTGCAACGCAAGAAGAAGGCTTAAGGTTCAGGAGGTGGCATGAGGTTTGAATTAACATAATTAACAATTCAAGGTTGAGAGTTGGTCCACCTTTGACAGGATTTCGAGTCCATTCTAGCCGGGATGTGCATGTCTTGAACTGATGTTTGGTCAGTGAGTCCGGTGCTCGGCGAGATGCTTCGTTTCATCCTCCTACTCTGCTTGCTTTGCCTGCTTTTTGACAGGGATTGTTTGACATACGCTGAAGCATCACTGGGGCTGGACCTCCTAACTGCAATTGATCAGACCGGCCAAAGCATGCCAAAGCTTCAGGTGATGAATGAGACTGTGAGGATTACGGACCTGTGGCAGTGTCCTGCAAGCCTCGGTGGGGATGCTGTGCCCTCTCTGTGGCCTGGCAGCTTCAGAAGGAAATGTCACCGGTAGGGCAAAATTGATCTCGGCTGTACATCGAGGCTTTTAGCTCATGTGTTTGATCGTGAGTTGTGTTTGGCGCGCTAGGGCCCTCCACGTTAGCGTCCGCTGAAGGTATCGAATGTGGTAGTGGGGCAGGCAAACCAGACCGTGAAACGACTCCCAAGACCTTGAACGCAGCAATGGGGTATCCTCAGCCCAAAGCCCTGAAAACAGCTAGCAGCCCTTTTTTTGGCAATGCTTTTACGCTTTTGTCAGTCCAGACTGTTGGTTACGAGCGGTTAAGGGGGATTGAGCATTGGTGACTAGGGAATGGCCCTGTGCGCAAGATGGGGAACATTATCTAGAGTCTAGAGTCTAGAGGATAGTACATGGCGTCCAGGCTCACCCCCCAACCCCCCAAGACGCACCCTGGCCCATCCTCAATCCTGAGTGGAACACAGATCATTATCGCACTTCGTTGCTGTGTCTTGAGCCACAGCCATGCCCTGGTACTTCTCCACTGCTGTCACCCTTGCTGTCATCCTTGCGCAAAGTCTCACGCACGGGAAACAATCCGGACAAAGCGGCACGCCAGTTTCACTGCAAGACTGACAGAGCTGGTGCCCTCCGTGTTTGCACCTCAACTAGCAGGATGACGCAAGCAGCAGTTCACGAATACCAGAATTGACACACAACCAATTGCAAACCTTTCTTCTTCAGGTGGCACACGCCGACCGAGCGCGTAGTGGTAGGGAAGGTCAGGGTCTCACCCTCCGAGAGCTAGGTTGTTGAAGTTCCACGTCTTGGCCGTATGTTTTTTGGTTGTTTTGGTGTTGGTGGCACATCAGTAACTTGCACAACCTTTCACGGTATCCATGGTATTGATTCCGTGCTGAGAGTCCTGAAGCATGTTTCAAATCTCCGTCGAAATGCGAGGCTAGAGCCTTCGTTTACAGACATGGGTGCCTTACAGGCAAATCCCTTGCTCCTATTTGGAGGATTCCACTCTTGGTTGATAATCTTTTGCGAGGCTGAGCGCCCTTAGTTAGGTTGCTAGCCCGTTCGCAAACCATTGGTAGCCTCCAAGTAGCTGACCACGCAGAAGGCACACCTTCAATCGAAGACAGCCTTGACAATCTTAGCCGTAAGTTCGGGGGGTTGACTCCATGGCCTTGTGGCAAAGGCGTGCTGCTGCCAATGATAAAGTTCTATGCGGGCTGTATTTCGATTCAACCCCATTCGATTCAACTTGAATTCATGCCGCTGCGAGATGTTAAAATCCATGGTGCGCTTTCAAATTGTGACCGCTGCAGTCTTGTTGTCCTCTCATGCCGCAACCCCAACTGGCAGAAGACCAAGCTTCTGTGGCCTCCAGCAGGTTACAGTAAAGTTGTGAGACCTCTAGTTGTGCTACAAGGTTCCGCCACAGCACAGTTATGGATTCGGGGGAGGGGGGGGGCACTTCATTCACTATTGACCGGAACCCTGAAGATATTTATCCTGAAGCTGAGTTCACCCTGGATGTCGCTCGATTGTCATTCATCTTCTTGGATCGTATGTGAATGCGTAAACCTATCATGCTACGCATGCTGGCAGTGTCTTCTTTTGCAGTAGGAACGATTGTGCTACGCAACTTAAATGGCTGAAGTCGAGCCTTTTTGCAAGTGCGATTTGATGCATCATCAAAGGCCACTGACAACGTTAATGGTAGTCCCACCTAGAGACTCAGTGAATTTCTTACGTGCCTATAAGGAGCCTTCGAACTCTCTCTATATGCTTGTGGGGCTGCCCAGCTCACTTGTGCAAGAGGCTGTCTCGCAGCCTCCTCAGTTGTGTGAGAACTGCCACCCGAGTGCAAGTTTCCACAATCCCAAACTTAGCCAATGGTAGCCTTCTTGAGCAGCTGACGTCTTAGCTTCATGCCCAAAAAGAAGCCCTGGAACCCTACCGCCAGTCATCATGATCGTCACGATGTTGTGGTCGGCTTGTGCTTTAGAGTGGCAGCTTCCATACCACAACGATCTCCACTGGCTCGCATGATGGCTGGAAGTGTGGACACCTTGCCAAGCAGCCAAGCAGATCGCGTTGGTTCTTCAAGCACATATTCATGGCAACCCGAAAGCCCAAGCTCAAAACCACCAATTGGCTTTGGAAGCTTCTTTGGCTGAAAGGGACAAGAAGACACGAAGCATGCCAGGAAGTACGAAAGGATCAATAACCAAAGGAAAACCCGCAGCTGTGGCTCTCTGTGCCGCCTCGATGGGCACTGAAGTTCTCACACCTGAAGGCTCCAGCTTGGCTGCTTTAAATGATTAATCTCTGGGTGTGCCGATCTGCATCCCCAGTTGTTTCCTGAAGCCAGAAAGGAGGTCTTCTTCTAAACAGAGGTGTGAGTTCTCCCCATGCACTCCTGCGCAAGCCGTTCATTCTCCAATTCCCGCGTCCATGTCCACAAAGACTCAAATCAGTTTACTCTTCCAGCCTCATGGCTTTCGGGAAGGCTTCCGGGCCGATGGACGGCGGGTCCATGAGCCGAGGGGCATCCAATGCTGCGTTGGAAGCATGGGCCTTAAGTCTTTCGTAGTTGGACGCTGTAATTTCTAGATTCCAAGGTGCGACTTTGCAGGATGCTCTTGTCGGGCTTCTCAACTTGGATTTCAAAGGTTTGGCGTTCGGGCATAGCGTAGCAACTCAAAATCGCGATGACCTTCAACACAGTCTTGTTGGTGATGTGTTTGTATTGTTTGGTTTTGCACGGATTCTCGCAACCATGGTCCCTGTCTAGGACATCCAGCCTGTGAGCTCTCCTGCTTTCTTGTCGTCTTTGCTGCTCCACTATCCCTGTTTTTAGCAAGCATGAGTGCCACTACCACCAGCAGAAGGACTATTCCTTCGTGTTCCGGCTATCGAAGTATTGCTAGCCGCAGCCAAAAGGCGGTGGCCGCGGTGAAGCAGATGGCTACGCCGTTTTCGAGCTCGGCAGCACAAAGGCCTGGGCTGAGACAATTAGAATCAATGAGAGGGTCAGGGTATCACTCTGGGGATTGCAGAGGTGGGAGTTTTCAAGGTGGCCGGTTTTGGCTTGAGTTTATAGATTAGAAAGACCACCCAAGCCTGTCAAGCTTGACACTATCGGAGAGTCCGTGGTGATGAGGGTAGGAGTTTGGCTCATTCTGATGCATGGAGACAACAGTTGCTTCATACCTAGGCCTCCAGGCTACCCTGGGTTCAACAAAGGCAGGCCCGACGCAGGGTCGCTCATCGTAGAGCTGTGCAAGCCATTTGCACCTATCTTTTGACGAACTCCATGGCTCACACAACAAAGAGGTGCAGATAGTATCAAGAAGTTGCTGATGTCAAGATGCCCTATTCTGTGTCAGAGTTTGCCAGGCAGTTGCCTATGTCTATGGGCCCATGGAGGCTTCGGGTCCTGCCTGTCATTTAGGCTTCATCGGGTGAGGAGTTGAGGGATTTGGAGTGCGGCGGAACCACGAGAGTCTTGAATCCGTTTTAGTGCTAGCCTCGTTGGGGTGACTGTGGCAGCTTGAGCAAGCACAGTCCTTGGCAACCATATCAGGATCAACGGTTGAGCACAGTCCTGAGCACATAGTCGCAAACTTCCAGCCAGAAAGTTGACAGTTCGCTTTCGCAAGAAATGCACTTTGAGAACCTCTGCGTCCTTTAGGCACGCCAGCGTTCGGCTACCTTCCACGACCGTGCCTTGCTGACCTGTGTGCTGTCGGGGGCTCTGAAAGCTTAGATGAGCGACTTGATATCGGCAGCATGAATCATGTGTCGCAAGTGCCGGGAGGGCAGGTTATGCACCGTGCTGTTCGGACTGCTAACAAAGTCTGCTGGGCACTTCTATCCATGAGTCTGCAGGGCCAGGTGCATCAAAGAGCGGGTTGGCTGTTAGGTTGTCATGACTCCGTCACCGTCAACCGCTGCTAACGTTCAGGTCCGTTTTTTCAAAATGGTTGGCATTTTTTCGTCTGTGACACAACATTGATGTTTGATATTTAAGTCTACACCTTCACTGCTGCAACTGCGAAAAGCCCAAGACGCAGAAAGCCTGCAATGGTGCAGATTTGTGACAACACAAAGTAGAGAGTCCAGGTCCACTGCAGCCTTATCTGGGCCCGCGAGGGGCTTCGGTCGCCGGGGTGACCGCCAGCCACATCGCTCAGTAGCAGGGTTCAGAAAGGTTGTAATTGGATTCCTTTGATGGTCTCTGATTGGAGCCCTTCCCTGGAGACTTGGGGGCACTAGAGTTAGGCAGTCAAAAGGCATGGTGGGGGCCTTCTCCCACTCCTCATAGGGACGATCACGCAGACCTGATACAAGCTGTTGCCGAAGCCAAGCAGACTCGTGCATACCAGTGGTCATGATGCTCCATCTTCGGGTCTTTATTCGGGCTGAGCAGACTCCTTCAGCAGATGATCGTTTGACCGGTGCTAAAACCTGCTTTTGGGAGAATATTCTGAGGTCTCAGGAGCGGTCCATGTGGATGCAGCAGGCCTTTGAAAGCGCCATTCTCCTCGAGCAGAACCTCGCGGCTTGTTTGAGCTTTTCAGGTCAGTTGGCGTAAGATCTGAGATTGGGACGTGCTCTCACATGGCATAAGAGGTGCTGCATGAGCTGTCTGCTGAGCCAGGTATCCTCGCTCGCAGATTCGTCTGTATGTGCAGATCTTGCAGGCACACCTGTGTTCCGTGAGTTTCTACCAAGGCGCTTCAGGTCTTGCAGTCGTAGGTCCAAGGTGCGAGTGCATGCGAGTGCAACAGTTGGAGCTGAGGAGAGGAAGGCGCAGCGTGCCATGACATCATGATGTTGGGGTCGGGTTCGTGGTTTCCTATGAGCCTCAGATTACGGGGCTTCTGCTTCTGTGGTGTCTTCCTGGGTTCTTGCATGGTCCTCAGCTTTTGGCTGCCAGGCAGAAGGCAGCTCCATGGCCGCAGCGATTAACGCGGCCCTTTGGACGGAAGCTGCAGATGCTCGTGATGCCCTCCTCCAGTGTTTGCTTACCGTTGGCAGGGCTGTACCTTGCCTTCTGCACTAGAATCACTAGAATGCTCATTTGTGTGGCATTTCGCCTGGGTGGCTAGACTTCCAGTTGGGTCACTTTGTTCTCAGTGTCTGCATGGCATTACCCGCTCAAATGAGAGTGGGTGTGGACATACCTAGACCACAAGAATCGATTCAAATGTGACACTCTGGATACTTGCACATGAATACTAATGGATGGCCCAAGACGCTGAACTCATCGCCAGCGGTTGAGGCTACTTTGGCGCTGGCTGATGCGGGCATTCCCATGCGTGATCTCGTTGTGGCCTGTACAGCAGGACTGTGAGATCCTTAGAATGTTGTGGTGCTGTAAGCTGCTGCGCAACTTTGCAACCTGACGGTTAATAGCTGCACTAGCTGCTAGCTGCTAGCTTTATCCAAGACGTTGGCGGCAGGATCGTCGGCGGCTCTGCCATTGTAGACCCAAGATGCAAGCCCTAGTAACTCTAGTTCCTCGTGTAATCTGTTCGTTCTTGTTCAGCATGAAGGCCTTGACTTAAACACATTTGCACGTTCGTGCAGATAGAGGCCAGTACAGATCTCAGCACAGACATCCGGTGCTCCGCTGGCATTGAGCGTTGAGTCACTCTGACACCGCACGTCCCCCATCCATCCCCTTCCTTCATCCGTGAGCGCCATGTCTGCCGGCTCGCCTGTGAAAGCCGAGGAGGTCCCGCTCCCACTGGACCTTTTGAACCCGCCCGTGGAGGTGGATGCGCCCCTAGACGACCGTGACATCGAGCTCGTGCAGACCACCTTTGCCAAGGTGGCTGCAGTGGGCCCAGAGACGGCAGGCCGCATCCTCTTTGGGCACATCTTCCGTATTGCACCGGAGGCAAAAGCGCTTTTCTCCTTTGCCCGGGACGAAGAGACGATGTGGGAGCCGGGGAGCCGCCTTGAGAAGCATGGTGCAAGGGTGGTGAACACCGTAGCGACGGCCGTGTCTTTGTTGAAGGACCTTGAGACCTTGGTGCCGGTGCTTCAGAAGTTGGGCTTGCAGCATGTGGGTTACAAGGTGCTCCCGCCCCACTACGACGTGGTGGGCCAGGCCTTCATCGCCACACTGGAGGATGCACTGCAGACCGAGTTCACAGAAGCTGTGAAGAATGCCTACCTCAAGGTATGGAACATTGTGCAGACCACCATGATGGGAGACAACTACTCCTAAAGTCAAATGCCTCATGAGGCTGGTGTTTGAGTGACCATTGGCTTGCTTGTAAAGATTATTTCTGGCACAAGGGTGTGGAGGCTTTTCCAAGGACTTCTGCGGGCCAACAGCCTCCCTTGAGAGCCTACCACACTTGCTTCGCGAGTTTCCGCTTGGCTGTGATGCTTAAATGGCTTCATCAAGAAGCGATGTTCTCAGCTTCCTCTCGCCACGATTGGAGATCTGGCACAGACTGCGCGACAAGCACGGCAGGTGCCCAAAGAAGTTGAGTGAGCGCAGGAGCTGCTTCAATTGAAGTTTTGGAGGTCTTCTCTTCGCCGGTGTCCATGTGAACCATTTAATCTGGTCGTGTTAAGCGGTGGTATGCGATGGTGCTGTAGCTTCAACCACGAGGCTTGTGGCAGGATCCTCTTCTGTGATAGACCCGAGATGC